ATCACGCTTTAACATGAAGAGATATCAAACCAGCGCTTTTATAAGAGATAGACAATTGATCACTGTTCAATATCCACCTGCTAAAGACTTTCTGGACAGACTTATGAACTTTCCATTGTTAAAAAAACCTTAAGGTACCCGTCTTGCCCCGCTTTCCCCTACACAAAGGATGCCAAATTAGTGCATGAACAGGTACTAGAAGTTTGATATGGCTGCGAGCGTTCTTTTTTTTTGGCTGTACTGGAAGGAACCGTGGGGGGAAGTCAACATCCCCGGTAGGACGCCGATGAAGTGCATTTTGGAGTAGGCTCAGGCATTTCTTCTTACTGCCCCCTCCCCCTCCCCCCCCACACCTATGCATTTCGAAAAAATGCTTTGCAGTAGTCCTACATCTACTAATTAAGATGGTATTTCAATCATCTGAGGATAACAGTCACCAAGAAATAGCCAAATTGGAAAAACGTTATGCATTTGAATTCAAACCTGATGCTGACCTCTGGAGCTGCAGGTTGTGACTAAGGATCCTCCTAGATTGGCGTGGCTTTCCAACGCTACTGCCAGTGACACTCTACATGATGCGTAACTAGAGTGGTCGTATAGTGCCTTAAAGAAACTAGAAACTGACGATGGGCTATGTTCTCCATGCTGAGATTATTACGACACAACCGGCGGTAGCGCGCGCTGCACTACATACGTCCCAGCACTGAACCCATAATCGCACTAAAATGGACTGCATTGCGAGCATTTGAAGCCACCTATTTCATGCGGCACAAATATTTAAAAAGCCGCTTGGTAGACTTACCTCATCCGTAGTAAGATGCTGAGGCAAACCACCATATCAATAACTAGAAATAAGTCCAGTTATTTGGTATTCTACTCTGTCTAGCATGTTGTTCGAATCTTGGCTCGGAAATATGCGAAAAGCACTGGTCTGAGGCACATTGACACAGAGAGACAAAACCACTGTGTCAACCACTGGTATGTGACGTTTAGCAATTATATTGAATATTTGGCAGCATGTTTTGTCATCTGCTAGATATTGTCCGGATAGAAACTACTAAATTTGAAACATTTGGTGCCGTAACTCGTTTATGCAGCAAGCGCCAATATGCTGACGTACGTTACTACACAACCTCACGCTGCAAGCGTTGGAGAGTATTGACCAATACTAAGCTTTGTGTGTCGCCTGACGAGGTTGTTCTGTTATCATTGGGATCCATTATTGCGGTTTTGTTACCAGATATCTTACAGCATTGGCCATTTTTGTCAGTGATCATATCCGGCGAACTGGAAGCTTTTTCACCCCTTATCATTGGTTTGAAGACTGGAGGGTTCTTCAAGAGAACAAATGCCGTGGAAAAGAAGAGAGCCATCACGGATCATGCCTTTTGTTTCGGTTGTCTACATAAGGGACACAAATTGGCCATGTGCAAGACACATGGACACAGGTTTCTGCAAAATTTGCTAGAGGAACGGCATCAAATGGCTCTGCACGAGAGCAGCTTGGCGTCGCCCTCGCAGAACGCGACGCTGCAGAAACCTGAGATCGCTGTCGAGAATAGAACAGTGAGCATCACTGCTGGCACTGCAAAGTTGTGGAGTGGCATGGCCGCCACACCTGTCGGAGTTCGCGTCAACGAGGGCAAGCAGTCAGCACGTGCGCCTTCCTTGATAATGGTAGCTCTGCTGCTGCTGTACGCAAACTTTGCTTGATGCTCTTGATGTGGCAGATGCCGTACCCGCTCAGCTGTCATTTTGTACGGTAGAATCTCGAAAAAAGCAAGGCTAGACAGCCGGGTTGAGACAGGCGTAGGACAGGTGAGCGACATGGATGGAGCCCTGCTATTAATCGCTCGCTCTCCCTCTCCTGTGCGACGAGAGCGATTAACTATGCAGAGGTATTCTGTCACACCCGACGATACCCCGGAAGTCAGGGGACTTACAAGCGTAGCCACACCCTCACAGCGCTGAAGTACATGACTTATATACAAACACTGGCCTCATGATAGGGAACGATTCTTGGAGCATCGGTTCATCTTTTGGTAAGTTTTTATTTTCCTTACTTCATCTACATCCACTTTTAATTATGTTTCAGTTTGCTGCAGAATTTATCTTTCGCGCATCACTGCAGTGACATTATGGTTTATCTTGCTGTTCGGTCGCGCCCTAGCCATACTTGTTGACGTTTCTTTTACATTGTCATCCTATCAAGCGTGGCGCTGCTCTCGCCTCATTTGCGCAGTGTGACCCAGCAATGGCTGGAAGGCCGCGTGGCGGCGCCACTGGTGCGCCGCGAGGTGACGCCCTATATTTCTCATCAAATCAGGTAAACACGAAGCACGCCGCTGGTCTTGCAGTGTTGGCTAATATGCAGTGTTCAATGAGGAGTTTGTATGAAATTTCCTATATTATCATGCTGAAGAAGCTGCATCTGAAGATGCTTCCCGACCAGGATTGGATTAGGCATGCAGCCTGCAGCGAGTGGGGGCTCAACTGTGAGATAGGTGTGCTGCATCCCGGAAGCATTGAGGGGTACACATCTGTCCCCCTTTATCCTCTATCTCGCTTCATCCTGCATCCTCGCGACACCCCGCTTGTCCGGGGCAGGCTGCATGCGTCGGCCACGAGTGGGCCGAGAGCCCCGTGGGAGGGGGACCCCGACCGGGTACCCGCGCATGCGCGGGTTAAAGCTCGGTGGTTGGCCCCCCCAGGCGCACGCACGTCTGTCCCATCGTTAACCATTTTCCTTCATCCAATAGCCCTGAAATGATCATTTCTGGTCGAAAGGGTTCTAATCCAACAACAAAACAGAAACAAACAAAAAAAACAAGCATTGAGGATCCTTTCAAGATACAAAAGCTTTGGTAGAATGCTGCCTGGCTGTCAGGCAGCGAGTTGACTACGGGTCTGAACACCACCAGTGTCTTAGACTTCAGGGCAAAGTCTGCCACCCCTCTGTCTTGCTGAGCATTGGAGCCCGTCAACTCGGCCGGTTTGTCAGTCTTGTGGATTTCCGCAGTCATTCCTCGTTTCACTGCTGACTAAACCTGACGGCAGTGAACTGAAATCATAACTCTTCAGCAGACAGCGTCTTTTTCGGGACTTGAGGTGCGTTCAGATTTGAAGGCCCCTTGTAGCGTTACAGCTGAATAACCTGGCGGATGAGTCGCAGAGGAACCATCTGACAATCGTCGTGCTGCTGCAGAGGTTGTTCTTGAAAGACACCAACACATACCAGGAGCTGAGAGACTATCTGTAGGCAGCCAAAGAGTGCCTGGCCGGCAGAATGTGAGTGAAATGCCTTTTGAAACCTACATTGCTGGCGCTCATGTTCCTGCGCGGAGGACAGAATGATAACTTCTTCCTTCTGCAACACAGTTTCAAGGCAGCGTTGACGTGTTTCTTCATGATAGCTCACCACCATACCAGCTAACTGAGCTGACACGTGTGGCAGGTGAAGCATAATTACAAGCATGCCACGGAGGAGCTACCGGTGGGCGCGCACGTGTGGTGACACGGGCAGCGAGACCGTAGTGCAGATGCTGGTTGACCTCGGTCAGGTGCCGCCGCGTCGTTTGGTCAGTTCCTGGGACCGCAGAAGACCTGGCTGAAAGTGTGGAGACTCGATTGACCCACTGCACTCCTGGCTCTTTTCAGATGAAGCCCCCGTTGTGTCCCCCCCGAAGAGCAGAAGCTACAGATATTGCTAATTTCTACTGGAGCGTCGAAGTCTCCACCATCATACTGGCGTTTCAACAGCGGTAGTTACTCCCGAATCACTCCTGGATGTAATGACCTACAGCTACACCGCTGAAAGAAAGGCATGCAGTGCTGTATCCTGCAGCTGGAACAACCCCAGCGCGGGTCTTCGGCATACAGACTTCTGTTATTGTTGAGGGAGAAATCGCACGCTGTTGCTGTTGCACCAGCAAGCAGATGGACTTCGAAGAAAACGAAGGGGAGCTAGGTGTACATAGTGATGATAAATATGAAAAACAGCAGGGAAATGTGACGAGTACTGGCTGGTAGGACTGCGCTCAAGGTCTCTTCAGATGGCGTCACACTGTGCGTTAGAGGCCTGCTTTGAGTCTGACAACTGACCTCGGATTTAACGCTGAATTAGGCCTTGTGACCGCCCAAGAAGAGATATAACATGCCCATCTATATTATCTTGATCAAGATAAGAGATTTGGTTCACAATTAAGATGGCGGCCGCAAGGGCAGTAGTGTTAGAAGCGCCTCCGGTCTACGAGGGTCGCTGTTTATGGATATCTAACCTGTACTCCAGAGGTCAACGGAAGGTGTTGAAACGACATATTCCAAGGATTCATTCGAAGCTTCCTGCTTCTGACAGGAACAGCGGCTATAGCGTGGAAGGTCGCTGGTTTAAATAGCGAGGAGGAGGTGCATTGTCTGTTTCCTTATTTGTTTACTTGTATGTGATGTTATTCTCAGGTTATTGAAATGTTATTTTTATCAGTAATGTAGGACTACTGGCATGCAGTTTGCGACATACATAGGAGGTGTGGGGTGGGAGGGGAGGGGTGAGCAAGGAGAAATATCTGAACCTACTTCCAAAAAAAAAACCATTTGAAGCAGACTTCTCCCGAGTTTGCAGCCACTCTCCTTTCAGAGTTCGGGGCAGGGACGTAATTTCTTAAAATGAGTATTTGTGAGGGGAGGGCTAAGCACTGGCAAATGGTTCAACTTACCCCTAAAAGAGTCAGCAAACGTGTTTCCCTCCAGATTTCGCTCACTTTCGTCTCAAAGTTGGTGGGGTAAATGGAGCCTAAACTAAGGGGGCAAGAAACTACATTCCTCTTTGGGGGCACAATCCATCCAAATGAATAGGGAAATGCATCACTGTAAGGCTAGTTGAGCCGAGAATGCTATCGAATGAAGCTGATAATCTGACAATCACGATAGATTACCCTCAATCATCATTAAATGTTTCAGTCTCCATTCAGTATGAATAGGGATCGTAACGTCAAGTACGGACATGATGCGAAAAATGGTTATGTTTATTTTCACATACGGTTTAGAACCAGTCTCGTGCTCATCGTCAGATGGTAAACGCGACCCAGGTGCACTACAGGACACGATTGACAGGGGCACAAATGTGGTGTTTGCAAAGACACCCAAGACGCTAACAAAAATCATCGGAGATAAGCATGGATGACATGAGTCAATTGCTGCAATAACAGCAAATAACGGAATACCTGCTTTGAATCGACAAATTTCGTGCGCGCTCAACTTCCAGCTAATTCAAAGCCAGTAGACTTGAATAGCTGCTGTGAGCTCAAAAATACCGGCGTCTAAACATGGCTCCATAAGACGGCACTGTTGCAGCCAGACAACATTTTCACTCTGCATGTTTCAAACTTGAGACAACTTGCACCGGGTGAGAGAAGTGTTTCACGACATCGTTCCTGAAACAGGCAACACCGTCCACGTTTACCTGATATACAGCTCGATTCCTCGATTATTTTCCACTCCGAAAAATCGCTCTAAACGCATCGACCAGTCGCATTCAACACGTCGCGTGAGAAAATGATTGCAATTTGCAAATTGTTTTAAAAAACTGATTAACTTGGCATTGAATTAAATGCGGTAGACCCTGTAGGATATCCTTGTCTAATTTTCTCATTCAGCGCTCTTTCGCCCTGTCTGCCAGCGATCTGACAAGCAAACATTAATGGGGCAACCGGACGGTAATGAATGGAATTGGCCTTACATGTACATGGTGATCGGCACGCCGAACAGCAGGACGTTGTTGTCGTAGTACGTGAAGCGCCACAGGCCATGATGGTGTCCGCGCACATCCAGGTCCCAGATCTTGAAGCACTGCCGGCAAACACCGCATAGTGAGCCACAGTTGGCAGGGCAGGCATCGGCCGGCATCGGCTCGGACATAGGCAGAGAGCAGCGACCCGCCGTCGACAGTGGGGCAGTCGGCGTTGTCAACTCTTGAGCCCCGACGCTGCCTTTGGCCAGAACGGCTGAGCGGAACACCCTTCGCTGCAGTCGGGTGTCAGTTCCTGAGTCCGACGGCCTTTGGCCAACACGGCTGAGCGGACCCCTTCGCTGCAGTCGGCGGTGTCACTCCTGAGCCCCCGACGCCGCCTTGCCAGACACGGCCGAGCGGAGCGCCCTTCGCTGCAGTCGGCGTTGTCAACTCTTGAGCCCCGACCAAGGCTATCTAAGAGGTAGAACGTCCGGTCCGAAGAAATGGCAACATAGAGCTTGCTTGAGAAAAGAGGTAGTTTGGAAGTAAAGCCGGCATGACGTCAAGTATACCATATTTGATGACGTCAGTGGCACGGAAGCCTCCCAATTAGCCAGCTGACTGTTATACAACCCATTAGTTTGAATACGGGGAATGTCTTGGTAGCGTTGCGGCTGGCGGTTCCCCGTTGGACTGAGAAGAAGAAATTATCCGTCATTTCACTATTCGCACACATTTGTGGAATGAGCAGTGGTCATGGAAACAGGTAAGCCTCATCAGAATGTACGATTTTGCATGTATGATGCTATAACATGGGTGTATATGTCATGCGGACGTTTGTGGCGTATGCATTCCATGACCAGGCTTGTCGTTAGATAGCCGTAGACTTGTCTGTTGCCGTTTGGTCTGGTGGCAAGATTGAACGCTCAGCTTGCCATAATTTACTTTGGCTATAGGTATGATTATATGACTATTGCAACATTGATTTGCAATAGCTCTCGCTCTTATCCAGTGATTGAGTGCAGTAAGGTAAGTTACAGTAAAACCCGTATGATATGGGCTTTATGATGCTAGTGTCCAAGTGTTTCTTTATCATAGTTGTTACACATATGCATAATAAAATGTTCACAGGACCGAGCATTTTAAATGTTACCAATTGTTCAAGACAAACTGCTCAGGAGATCTCTCGTACGAGGCGTAGTATGGCAACTGGCCACAAACCCACTGATATAAGAGCCAAGCAACTGCGACAGCGATGCGCTACAAACGCCGCATGACATTTAACCCTAGTTATATACACCCCACGGAAGAACTAAAATTATGAGAGGTCAAACTATTCCGAGATTTCAATCTCCCTTCAAGAATTGTGTTTGCATGAAAAACCATGGACCACTCATTCAGAGTCCAACCGGAAGCGCCAGCCGGACGCCCCCAAAACATACTCACCCTAACAAACTAGTGGGTTGTGTAGCAGTCAGCGGCTAATTGAGAGGCTTCCGTGCCACTGAGTCATTCAAATATGGTATACTTGAACGTCATGAGGCGGGCTTTGCTGCCAAA